TATCAGACAAAATAGACTTTGAGACAAGGGATGTTACAAGAGACAAACATTTATGATAAAAGAGTCACTCTGTTAGGAAGATAAAAATTATGAAGGTATATGCACCTGAGAGCAGAGCCCAGAAATCCATGAAAAGGACAGATTGAAAGGAGAAATAGACCACACAACAAATATAGTTGGAGAGCTCAATAATTCTACTTTATTAATTTATAGAACAATCAGAGAATCCACAAGGATGGAGAATACACGAACAACATCACCAGACGACTTGAACTGACACTTCTGGAAAACTACACATAAAAAGAACAGAATGTGTATTGTTTTTGAGTACATGCGGCACGTTCTCCAGGCTAGACTGTAGGGCAGGTCACAAAATAAGCTTCAAATTTTTAAAAATGGACATCTTCTTTTCTGATGTTTACATAAAACATAACTTTCTTTTGATTAGTGTTTGCGTGGTATTTTTTCCATTCTTTTATATTTAATCTTTCTGTATGCTGACAAGGTATGTCTTCTATAAACAGAATTTTGTTTTCTTATCCCGTGTGACAGTTTTTGTGCACTAATTGGATTATTATTTTGCATTTAATGAAATTTACATTTTTATATTATAACAAAATTACCGATATCTTTGGGTTTTACGTGTGTTACCATTTGTTTTCTACTTTTCCCATTTTTTAGATACCTTTCCTTTTTATCTTATTTTGGAATAATCCAGTATTTTTATTCCTTTTATTTTTTCCTTACACATCACTTTAATGTTTACTTTAGAGATTAGATTTCAAGGACCATGCCACGATTATGTGAAACCTGAATTTGATTTATCCCTATCTTAATGTTGTTACTGTGTATTTTCATTCCACAAGTATTTAGACGTTCACAAGATATTAATTAATTGGATAATATTACGTGTAATATTAATTTACGCTTTCCATACGTTTATCTTTTATGCTGAAATTCATTTTGGTTATTTTTTGTTTTGGTTTCTGTCTGGCATGAATTTTCCTTCCATCTGAAGAACCCCGGGGGCACCTGGGGGGCTCAGTTGGTTAAGTGAAGAACCCCAGCTCATAGTTCTTTAGTGCAAGTCTTCCGGTGAGGAATTCTCTCATTTTTTCCACTTCCGAAGCTGTTTTTATTTTGGCTTTTCTTCGTGCATGATACTTTCCTGGAGTCTAGAATTCTCCTTTGGCAGCTACTTCCTTCCAGCCCTTCGACATCATTCCACGGATTTCTCTTTCTTATTACTGCTGTTCAAAAGCCAGTTAACAGTCTTATTGTTATTCCTTGAAAATAGTGTATCTTTTTCCTCTACCTACTTTTAAGCCTTTTTCTTTTTTGGCCATCTTACACGGTATGTGTGCATGCATTTTGTTGGGGTGGGAGGTGTGTGTGTATATGTTTTGCATGGAGTTCAGCGTCCTTCTTGACCCTCTGTCCTGATATTGTCCTCGGATTTGGAAAACTGAGAACATGTTTCTGCATCTGTTGCTTCTGGTACATTCCATCTCTCTCTCCTGTCTACCCATAACTCCAATTACACATACGCTAGACCTTTCGCCAGGTTCTCTATGCCTCCTGTGCTCTTGAATATATATTACACATTCTTTCTCCCTCCCTGTGCTTCTGCTTGGATATTTCCTACTGACATTCTTCTCATTCAGTGACTTTTTATCTCTAGTTTTTTTCTTTTTTATAGTGAAACTTTTTAAAAAGGTTTATTTATTTATTTTGAGAGAGACAGAGACAGCATGAGTGGGGGAGGGGCAGAGAGAAAGGGAGAGAGAGAATCCCAAGCGGGCTCCACGCTGTCAGCACAGAGCTCGAGGCGGGGCTCAAACTCATGAATCGTGAGATCATGACCTGAGCCAAAGTCGGATGCTTAACCGACTGAGCCCCCCAGGCACCCCTATCTCTGGTTTCTTTCTAATGTGCTGTTAAAATATTCTATTGAGTTCTTAGTTTCAGTTATTATAGGTTTTACTTCTGATGTTTTCACTCTATTTAAAAAAGTATATTTTCCAGTGCTCTGTTGTGGTTCCACAATCTGCCAGCTATTTCCTTCAACACAATAAAAATTAGTTTTTTATTGCTTCGCAACAAATTACCACATACTTTTTTTTACATGTGGCAAATTTACATTCATTTTCTAATATTCTGTCTCAAATAACCACAGATTTAATAGCTTGTAACAACACAGACATGTTATGTCACAGTCCCCACAGCTCAGGCGCTCCGGGTCCCCGCTCTCTGTCACGGTCCCCATAGCTCAGGTGTTCTGGGTCCCCTACTCAGGGTCTCAAAAACCTGAAAGCACAATGTCAGCCCAGCCGCATTTCCTTCTGGACCTGGGCGTTCTCTTCCAAATTCACATGGTCGTCGGCGGATTCATTCCTCGCGGTTGCAGGACTGAGGCTGTGTTTGCTCACCGGCTGTCACCGGAGATCAGTTCCCCCAAGTGCCCACATTCCTTGCCGCATGGTCCCCTTGGGAGTCCTCTCAAAACGTGGCCGCTTACGTCTGCAGAGTCAGCAAGGGAGGGTCTCCGTTCTGCTGAGACAGATTTTTACGGGACGTGATGTAAGCGTGAGAGTGACATCCCGTCACCTGTCTGTCCTCTGTTGGGAAGAGGCAAGTTACGGTTGTGCCCGTGCTCAGGAGGAGACGATGGTCCGGGGGTTTGTATCTCGGAGTTCTCAGAGCTTTAAAACGGGAACTTTTTTGATGAATCTATTTCTATTGAGTGCTTTCTTTTTTCCTTCTTGATCTTTAGCCCTGTGGTCTTTTCTCCTGGTACAGTTAGTGCATCTTCACGGCACCCTGCATGCACAATATCGGGGGTCCTCCAGCCCTCCCCGCCCCCTCCCCAGAGGGGGCCTGGTAGTAAATAATGTAGGACTTGTGGACCCAAAGTCTCTCTTGCATCTACTTAATGCTGCTGTGGTCGCGTAAAAGCAACCACAGGCGGCATGTGGGGGCGGGGTGGCTTTTTTTCTTTTAATTTTTTTACTGTTTATTTTTGAGACAGAGACAGAGCATGAGCAGGGGAGGGGCAGAGAGAGGGAGAGAGGGGCAGAGGGAGGGGCTCGAACTCACAAACCACAAGACCGTGACCCGAGCCGAAGTCGGACGCTTAACCCACTGAGCCACCCAGGTGCCCCGGGAGTGTGGCTTTGATTAAGAAACAAACACAACTTGAATTATGGTCACTGAAATATGACTTTCATACAATTTGCACGCCACACAATGTTATTCTTTAAAAGTTCTTTCTTTCGATCATTACAAAATATATGGCCCATTACACAGCACGTAGGCCGTGCAAAAACCAATGGTGGGTTCATGGGCCGGCAGGCAGTAGTTGGCTTACCCTGCTGTAAGTGCAAAAGCAGTGAAGATAAATTGAGGCTCTACGTTATATTATCTTCCTCTGTTTTACTTCCCAGCGGGTAGTTAGACGATGGGCAAGAACATATTAATAAGCAGGGATTACGTGAAATTGAAGCTGGTTTCAGTCTTTGTGAGGGTTGGTTTCTTTCTCCTTTACCTCTCAGTGGAAATACAGCCCTTAAGCATGTGGAGACCACGAGATGACCAGATGCTCTGCTCTTTTTCTTTTTTTTTTGTTGAGTGTTTGGACCAAAGCCTCTGAGCAACAAATTACAGTTCCTTGAAGAAATTGCAAACAGTGGGTGTCGGGCTGACATTTCTACATATCCTTTCTTTATGGAATCTTGGCCCCTCCATTATTCACCGACTTAGAAGCTACACCACCTCTTTCTTTATTTTTTTATTTTTTTAATGTGTATTTATTTTTGAGAGAGAGAGAGAGACAGAGTGCAGGCAGGGGAGGGGCAGAGAGAGAGGGAGACACAGAATCCGAAGCAGGATTCAGGCTCTGAGCCGTCAGCCCAGAGCCCGACGCGGGGCTCGAACTCACGGACCGCGAGATCGTGACCTGAGCTGAAGTCGGACGCTCAACCGACTGAGCCCCCCCAGGCGCCCCAACGCTACACCACTTCTTATGGTCATTAGAACATCGTTGCAGAGATGGAAGAGAGATAATTCCATCCTTCGATTGGAGGCAGACGTGGAGAGTTAGCAGTGGGGGTGGGGGGAGGAGGGAGGACCCTGGGAAGGGCCTCTTATTTCACTTTCTGATTGAACCTCAGTTTCTTCATTTGTAAAGTGGGGATAGTAATATTGAATATTTACCTGCTTCCTCATGTTATTGCGAGTCACCCAAAGCCACGTGAAGAGTGCAGAGCGAGAGCAACTTCCGGGGGGACGTCACCGTCCTCCCCGTCGCCACACGCGACTCCATCACCCGCAGGCGCGTCAGGAGGCTCGGGGTCAGAGGAGCATCCATCCAGACGCCAGTCAGATTCGTGGCAGATCTGGACGCTGAACCTGGGGAAACAGAGCCCCTAGTCTAATGCTTTTGCACCATCACCAGGCTGCCTTCCTGGATTGTCCTCGCCCGCGGCACCGCCGTTGAGCGCAATTTCAAGTTAAATTCGGTCTCAGCGGTAGTCACGGAGAATTTCACCGTGTCCAGACGTGTGCTACTGTTTCTCCTGAGGCCAGATTTCCCGGTTGGAGTCCTGGTTCCTCATGTATGAGCCCAGTGTCCTAGAGAAAGTTCCACAACGTCTCTGTGCCTGTTTTCTCTCCTGAAGAGGAATGTAGCTACGCTCGCTTGTAGATTTATCGCTAGGATTAGATGAACTAACATATGTACACTGCCCAGTTTAGTACCGAGCAGATAAGAAGCACGTATCATAAGTGTTAGTAATTATTTTGATGAGTAGCAGCTGTAAGTACCCTGAGAGAAAAGATGGAGAGTCTCTAAAGATGCTTTGTAATTGAATTACGGATGTGAGGCCAATGTGAAGAGTATGACTAAAGAGTTAAAAATATGTGACGCTTGAGCGCTAACTTTTGCCTAGTTCAAAGCCGTTGACGCTCACTAACGTCTGTGTGGGCTGTGGGTAGTGACACGGATGTACTTCGTGGAAGGTGGCCTGGGAAGGCGGAGGCCTTGGGCGGAACTGGGCCAGAAGTTCCAGAATGATGCAGGGTGTGCAGCGAGCAGAGCAGAGATGGGCAAGATTGGTTAAAGTAGAAGAAGTCACGGGATGGAAGGGAATACAGTCCGTGGTACCGTCATAGCGTTGCGTGATGACACGTGGTGGTTACACTCGTGGTGGGCGTGGCATAACCCACAGAGTCAGGTTGCACGCCTGACGTCGGTGTCACGTCGTGTGTGAACTATGCTTCAATTAAAAAAGGTATAAAGGTGAGAAAGACAAATACCATATGATTTCACTCATATGTGGAGTTTAAGAAACAGAGTAAGTGAGCAAAGGGAGAGAAAAGAGAGGAGAGAGAGAGAAGCCAACCGAGAAACAGACTCTTAACTACAGAGAACACACTGCTGGTCACCAGAGGGGAGGTGGGGGGCGGGGAATAGAGGGATGGGGATTAAGGGTGTACTTGTGATGGGGGTGCCTGGGTGGCTCCATCGGTTAATCGGCCGCCTTCTCTGCTCGGGTCATGATCTCGAGGTTCGTGTGTTCGAGCCCCGCGTCAGGCTCTATGCTGACAGCTCGGAGCCTGGAGCCTGCTCCGGATTCTGTGTCTTCCTCTCTCTCTGCCCCTCCTCCGCTCATGCTCTGTTTCTCTCTGTGTCTCAAAAAATGAACAGAAACGTTAAAAAAATTTTTAACAATAGTGCCCTTGTGATGATCACCAGGGGATGGATCTAAGTGTTGATTCACCATATTGTATACCTGAAACTAATATTACACTGTGTGCTAACTATGCTGGAATTTAAACAAAAAGGTAAAGGTAGTCTTACAAGAGAATTCTAGGCATGGATTGGATTGGGGATTGAACCCTGGGACTTTAAACTGGCTTCCAGCGCGGGGTATCTGAAGGTCAGCCCTCTGCGGACCTGGCTGCAGGGTTCCATGCTTAAATCCTTCTTGGCAGTCGTTGCTTCCCTTCTGCCACACATGAAGCATCCTTTCCAGAAGGGCCTTAAGCTCCTCAGCTTTGGCACCAGAGAAATGGACGGAAAGTATAACACGTACCTCGCGGGACCATGGCCCAACCTACCAAGTTTTCAGATCAGCCTTTTCCCCACAGAGATTTCTCCTAATTGCCAAGCCAGCTCTACCTTTCAAAATGTTAATCCCAGGATGAGGCAACGAGCTTGCTGGGTAATGAGGTCTCTTGGCGCTCTGCTGTTTGGATTGTGCCCTCTGCTACCATAGGTCACTTGGGAGTAGTAGGTGCTGTTTTGGGGAGAGAGACCCAGGAGTCTGAACAGGAAGTCCACACCTTATTAAGAAACCTCAAGCCAGAGTTATTATTGCTTTGTGACCCAAAGAAGAGCTGCTGTCCGAGGAGGTTGTGGGAATCCAGAGGAACTCAATGTGACTTTTCCTGTCTGTCACTCATAGGCTCAGGCACTGAAGACTGGGCTGTGTGTCCTTCCCTTCCTTTCTAGTTTCTTTTCGGTATCCCCTTCTGGGAAGTATCTCAAGATGAGCCAGTAAAGGGGGGAGTTCCTATGAAACCACAGCTCTGCTCAGTAAGACGTTAGTGATCATCAGATAAGAAAATCCGTAGACTTTTGGTAAAATAGCGCTGGTTTTGCACAGTGACCCAGACTCAAGTAACTGATGGATTTAAAATAATCTCGGGAAGGGCATTGACAAAAATCTGGGAAATGCTTTGTAACTGTTAGTACAAATCCATATGTATTGTTGCAGGCGTTCGGTGTCCCGAGTGGGCGGATGTGACTCTCAGAAGACCAGAGAAACAGGCTGCTGGTGAGTTTCACTTCCTTGTACTCTGGGACGGTGCTTGTTGATTGTAGCGTGATATTCGTTCATCACGGAGTCAACGGTGATCTGTAGAAGGGGGACCACGATCTCTCATAGACAATCTTGTGCTTTTTATCCTTTTGGAAATGTGTATGTGTGAACTAATGTAAGGAGGAGGGACGTAAGACTTGAGGGCTCTTTATTTGGGTCCTATACAAAAGGCTGTCCAGAAATCTAACTTCCGTGAGGGCACGGACCCTTGCTTGGTTATCTTTGTGTTCCTGATACTAGCACAGCACTCACTTCGTGACGTACTCAGCACATTGAACTCCTGGAGAGATGGTTTTGCTTGCATTCAAAACAAAATTGTATTATTTACAGTAGACTTAAAAAAAAAAAATTGGAGACCCAACAAGACAAGTAAGTTCTCTTCCCTGGAGAAAAACTGTAAGATTGGGTCAGGGACAGGCTTTGTTTCCCTCTTTGTGTTGTCATTTATTTGACAGAAAGAAAGAATATTAACCCCAAAGTCCACTACGGTCTGAATTTCGAGGTTTCTGTCCATCTGTACCCTCCCTACCTTTTTGTCTCTTTCCTTCCTCACCTCCATTTCTTACACCCGAGATGAGTAGCCCTCTTCTTGCCATCCCGTCTCCCCATCCCCCCCTGCTCCCCTTCCCTGGTGGCTCTCCTGGAGTCCACCCACATAGTGGTGCTGGGCTAGAGTCGTTTCAGGTGATAGTAATTTAGAGCAGGTTAATGGTCTGGAGGAGGAAGAAAACAAATATTCTAGGCTACAGGCAGGAGTAAAATCTTTTTCCAGGCAAGTGGAAGGGAGTTATAAGAACAACCTGGATGCATTTCCATGTACGTGTGCAAATATAATAAGACCTGTGGTTGTCAATGGATGGGTTCCGAACTATCCGTCAAAACCCAAGAACACAACTTGGATGTCACTACAGACTATTCCCGGCCAGCAGCTGGATGGGCCACTGTGATCTAAGGGAGAAAGAAGATGTTGGGCATCTCTGGGACGGGAGTGCAAAGCAGAACTAAACATCTCATTCTACCAGGTCCACACCCATGTTGGGATAGTACATGGGGCACTACATGGGTCTGGTCCGTGCACCGCGAGAAAGATGTTAAAAGCGCGTGATGAAGTTTGTATGAGCAGTTGGCAGGGAAGTGATAAGAGTTATAAAAATCAAGGCTGGTTAATCACAGGCTTGTTTACAGATCCTTGAAAGCTGGGCTGAAGCCGATTAAAAAATTCTTTGTAATGTTTATTTGTTTTTGAGAGAGAGACAGAGCGCGAGCAGGGGAGGGGCAGAGAGACAGGGAGACACAGAATCGGAAGCAGGCTCCAGGCTGTCAGCACAGAGCCCGATGTGGGGCTTGAACTCACGGACCTCAAGATCATGACCTGAGCCGAAGTCGGATGCTTCACCGACTGAGCCACCCAGGCGCCCCCAAGTTTTTATCTTACTTCCAGTCTAGTTAACCTACAGTGTTGTATCAGTCTCAGTTGTGCAGTATAGTGGTTCAACGATTCCATTCATTACCCAGTGCTCATCAATGTACCTGGAGACTTCACCCTTTATCCCCGCCACCGGTTTCTCCCACCCCCCACCCCTCCTCTGGTGACCAGCAGTGTGTTCTCGATAGTTAACAGTCTGGGATTTTTTGGTTTGTTTCTTAAATTCCACACATGAGTGAGATCATACGGTGTTTGTCTTTCTCTGGCTGACTTATTTCGCTTAGCATTGCACCCTCTGGATCCAACCATGTTGTTGCAGATGGCAAGATTTCATTCTTGTTGATGCCTGAGTAATATTCCATTGTGTATGGAATGAATATACCACATCTTTACCCATTCATCTATTGATGGGCACTTGAGCTGCTCACATAATGTGGCTATTCTAAATAATGCTGCAGTAAACATAGGGGTGCATAAATCTTTTCGAGGTAGTGTTTTCATATCCTTTGGGCAAACACCATCAGCAGATTTTTTTACCATTCAGGGGGCTCGCTTGGAACTTGACTGAGGTTGATGCAATGAGGGACCTTGGTTGGGAGACCGTTGCAGTCTCTGCAGAGAATGACATTGTGCCCACAAGTTGGGTGCTGGTAGAAAGCGCAGGGAAGAGGGGACACAGAATACAGCATTTTGGGAAGGACTGTTTTCCGCATGGAAAAGGATGATGCTCAGCTTTCTGAATGGAAGTAACGGATAACCATGGTGTGTTCTATCGGGAGTAGACACGGGTTGAAAGGCAAGACTAAACCTGCCGCTGTCCGGTCTCCAGTTCTGAGCTCACATGAGATGAGCCCATTTCTATCCCTGTCTCAACTTGAAATATGCAAAATTGAAGGGAAAAATAGAATATCTGGTCCTTCTCTGATTAGGTGAATTTTATCTCTGCTCTCACACTAGGAAAACCCAGCCCCTTCTTGAAAGGATCTCCTCGGATCTGTTCCATCCTGTTTTCTGCTCAAATTCAAGGAGATAAACCATACCCCTGCAGTGCCTTATCAAACCTTTTCCATGGCCTGAGAGGTTATGTGGTGCGGGGCTTTCAGGAGGACCAGCTCGTAGAAATGCTCCCTTTTCTAGTCTTTCATGATCACAGGGGATTTTAGGCGCTGGGCTTGGTGAAGTGACTCTGAGAAGCAGAAATCATTACAGGACTCTTCTGAGCCATTCGGCAGTGACAGTGCCTTCTGACAGGTGTTGAAAGGATATCGGCCTCAGATATGTTCTGTCTTTTACCTCGGTTACTGTCCTCACTGGATCCTTCCCAGCAAATTCAAGAGTGTTTGAGGACCAACTTCTTCCCTGACCTGGACTCGCCTCTTCGATGTCTGGGCAAATTATTTCTACTGATCTCCTCTGTACTCGGCCTCTGCCTTCCCTCTGGGATCTGACTCTGCCGCCGATCTCAGGGTCCTGGGGTGGAGCCCAGGAAGAGGTGCATAGAGGCGATGACCGCAGCTGACACTGATGACCGTCGAGGTCCAGGGCATTTGCTCAGACGATGGACACACTTTTTACCCGAGGCCTTGGGTTAGCCTGTTCTCTTGTAAAGTTGGCTCATCACCCCTGTCCTTTGCCCAGAACCACACCTCCCTCAGTGCCAACACCAAACTCTACTGCCGTGGTCGAGTTCCTCTTTGAAAGGAACTCGGGTGGCCACACAGGCTGGTCTTTGCCGTCTTTCTGAGTTTGCACCTGCTGACTCTGTCCAGCAATATCATCATCATCGTGACTGTTATTCGTCTGGACCATCACCTCCATACCCCCATGTACTTCTTCCTGAGCATGCTGTCCCTCTCTGAGACCTGCTACACTGTGGCCGTCATCTGTGCTTTCCGGCCTCCTGAGTCCCCACCAGCGCATTTCTGTCCAGTCTCCTCAGTCCCCAATGAGCCATCTCCATCCCAGACTGTGCCACTCAGCTCTTCTTCCGTCTCACCTTCGGCACCAACAACTGCTTCCTGCTCATGGCCACGGGGTATGACTGCTACGTGACCACCTGCAATCCCCTGTGGTATTCAGTCGTCATGAGTAAAGAGGCCTGTGTCCAGTTAGCAAGTGGCTCCCTGGGAACTGGCCTGGGCGTGGCCATTGTCCAGGTAACATCTGTGTTTGGCCTGCCCTTCTGTGACTCCCTTGTCATCTTTCACTTCTGTGACGTGAGGCCCCTGCTGAAGCTGGCCTGTGTGGACACCTCTGTCAACGAGATCATCAACTTTGTCGTCAGCGTCTGTGTCCTGATTCTGCCCACGGGCCCGGTCTTCTTCTCCTATGTCCTCATCGTCTCCACCATCTTCAAGATCCCCTCTGCCCAGGGCCGGAAGAAGGCCTTTGCCACCTGCACCTCCCGCCTCACTGTGGTCATCGTCCACTATGGCTGTGCCTCCGTCGCCTACCTCAAGCCCAAGTCCCGGAGTTCCGTGGGGGCAGGACAGACTCATCTCTGTGACCTACACCGTCCTCACTCCCCTGCTGAGCCCTGTCGTGTACAGCCTGAGGAACAAGGAGGTCAAGGATGCCCTGCGCAGAGCCGTGGGGCAGAAGCCCCTTTCCTCTTAACAAGGACAGATTATTGGAAGGCTTTTAACTGATTTTGTTTAACGTGTATTAATTTTAATGCTGTTTCAAAAATGCCTTTAAATATGGGATCAAGAAGGATGCTGGGATGGCTCGGTCGGTTAAGAGTCTGACTTCAGCTCAGGTCATGATCTCATGGCTCGCGGGTTCAAGCCCCGCTTTGGGCTCTGTGCTGACAGCTCGGAGCCTGGAGCCTGCTTCAGATTCTGTATCTGCCACTCTCTCTGACCCTCCACACTTGCACTCTTGCACTCTGTCTCTCTCTTGTTCAAAAATAAATAAACATTAAAAAAAAATTTTTTTTTTTTAATTTTCCAGTAAGCTCCTAAACCTGCAGAGGTTAATCTTGAGAAGTTTCTTCTTAGATGCTCCCAACTTAAAACCGGACTTAAAGCCAGCATTCCTGTCTGAGCATCACAGAAGGTGAACACGTGCGCTCTGGTGCAAGGCAGGGTCCTTTCTCCCTCATCCTTCTGTGCACTCTGGCCTTCTATGGCAAGGACTGAGCATACCCTGACTTCCAGACGCAGCTCCTGCAATGCCCAGAATCACCCCACGGGGTGACCCTGCGTGGGCAAAATATCACTTGTGAGAGTGTCACGGGGTCTGCTGGTTATGAAGGGTGGGGCAAGGCAGTGGAAATGAACAAGTTCTCCAAGTCAAGTTAACCTGTCTGACTTTGCACAAAACACTAGCTAGCACGTGAAGTCAGCCTGCAGATCAAAGACACCTTTGCCTTCATGTCCAGATTTCTAAACATAATAGCACCAGTGCCTTGCTATGAGGATAGTCAAAATTATTTTCAAAATGTTTGGCTTAGTCATCCTGCTTAAATCCAGATAAAAAGCCATTAGGTAGAGATCTGACGGCCGGGGTCTCACTCTCTTCTGTCACTTGTACTCAGTGGATGCTGTGCTACCCTACCTGGATTGCTTACCTTTGGGCCCCACACATCTGTTCCCCCAGCTGCTGGGAGGCTCTGAGGCAATAGAGGTCAGTTGAGTGGCTCTTCGGAAATTGCTGTTGGTGAAGAGCTACTTTCTCCAGAGTCTCACACCTTCTGCCAGGGCAGACTGGCTGCAAAGACTTGCCTACTTCGGCTGTAAAGACTGGCCCCCATCCCTCCAACTAAGATGATTAAAAAGGGCCCTCCTGGCTCCAAGGCTCTCATCTGTGAGCCGGTTTGACATACATCACATTTCAGCTACTCCCCCTGCCAGGGTCCGCTGCCTTCACTCTCACACGGGTGTTGATGCCGAGGGCACTCTCTGGGAAACCTGTTACATTTCAATCAGTTTCAGAGTCTGTTTTCTTTTTCTTTCTTCCTTTTTTTTTTTTTT